GAATTCAGAATTGTTTTTGGTTTGGGTTGGTGTAAAGGGTTAGGTTTAGAGAAAATTTCAGTTAAGACTATAGGGCATATGTTTCAACGCTTTTGGGATCAAGAGGTCCAAGCTTTAGGAAACCTTTTTTTTTTCTTCTCTTTCAGAAGTGCCACCATACAGAGACGGCGAAGGTGATGTTGCAGCCTTGCAGGGGAAGGGGGAGTTGAATTCTGACCTGCAATGCTGGTGATATAGATTAAAGTTAGAAGTTAAGAGGGGGTTAACTAAATCTAGTCTTCCTTAGCTCTAGTACAATCTAAGGATATGTACTAACTGCATGCCTATAGTCTTCTTGCTTCCAATATTTAGATTCATTCCCAAGGAAAAGAAAACCTTTTTCATAGCTCCCATTATAGTGTTTTAGACTGATAGATCTATTTCTTGTGTTTACATCTATAGCTAATTATGCTGATGGCATTTTGTTGTGTTAATTGTAAATATTTATATGCATGCAATTATGTGAAGAAAGAACCATGACATCGGCTATGGTGATAATGGGCGGTCTTCCATCATCATAAGTAGTGTGATTTATTTACAAAATTACATGTAGTTTTATTATAATCATCATTATTTACCAAACAAATTGTGATAATCTTATTATAGCTGTTTACTAGCTTTTTTTTTTAAGTATGTACTACCTCCGTTACATATTATGTGCAACAATAGGGTATTATTTGTAAGACATAAAATATTCCTTTGTTGCACATAATAAGGAACGGAGGTAGTATAATGGTTTTCTAGCTCTTCCACTTCTTTATCACTGTAAATATATGGTCAATTTGGAGTAAGAATTAGATATGGCTTGAGATATATAGCTATTGGTTGTGTCGTGTTGTGCTTGTTCCAAGCCTACTTGTCTCGGAAAGTTCATTTGTGTCGTAGGCAAATGTATCGCTTCCCAAATCCCGTATTTTACTTATTGCGATTTTATTTTTCAATACAATGTACCCTGATTATTACACCGGCGTTACGCACATTTTGGTGTCATGTCATGCCTGTACTCTTTCATTATTATAAAAAGGATTGTTAAAAACACACTCAACTTGGAATTGTACCTGTAATTATATTTATAAGCTGATCAATACTACTTGTACTATTTGGCAGTTGGACTTGTTATGGGTAGTCGAGAAACCTTCCTCTTTTAGTCTATGTTATGAACAGATGGTCTTCAAATATGGAAATTGTAGCCAGGGCCCTAATTCTTATGCTAAATATGGGAACTTTCCCTTTGTGTTAGTATCTTTTTCAAGAAAAAAGGTCCAACTTGCATGTTGCAAGTGGGTAGAATTAGCTGCTTATTAGGCCCAATTATTCAACACTTATTATATAATGAGATTAGGACTCCACTAATTATGGGTTATCCAACATTAAATTGTTGTTAATACTATCTTTCCAACTGAAACTAGCATTAAATAGACAAGTTGCAATATATTATTAAGTTTCCTGATTTTGAAAAAGATCTAGATTCCTTGACATCATGGTAGGTTACTTAACTTTCTTGGTAAAAAAAAATAAATAAATAACTTTCTTGGTTTTTTTTAACCAATAATGTGATGTTTAGGATTAGCAATTCTACTTGAGAATACAAGTACGGAGTAATCTCATTTGATGAATCAAAGAAGTATTAATTAACAAATTATAATAGGCTGATCCTGGTCCAATTCTTCGCCATTCAACCCGTTGAGTCGATCCATATAGAGCATTTGGTATGTTGCTCATTATGTGTTTCAACACTCTCTCAATAGGGATGCAAAGACAAATGTTGTTCTGAATGGAGATTATGTTTTTAGTGGAATGCAAAATATGTAAGCAAATAGAATGTATGAAATTTTGTAGGTAACCTCTTTAGTTTTACAAACTTTATGTATAAAAAAACCTCATTTTATTTGCAAAAATACGTCATATGAAATTATTGTAATAAAAAAAAACCTCATTTTATTAATGTATAAAAAAACCTCATTTTATTTGCAAAAACATTATAACCCTCTAATTTTTCGTTTTCTATGATGTGCCCCCCATTTTTTAGAAATCTACGTTGTTACCCCAAAATATATTTACTTTCTATACAGTAACCTTGCTGTTATCCCGCTATTAACAAATTCTGTTAGTGGGACCCACTCTCCACTTAAAAATTATTTTTTAATCGATTTGCGTGTAAGAAATTGTTCTGTTAAAAGTTTTGGGTCTATTTTGGTTCTTAGGAGGCCAAATTAAGCTCAGATTTAGCAAAAAAATAACATAAATACCTCGTTTTGCGTATTAAATACGTAAACACACAAATCGAGACATTTTTAAATACGCAAAACGAGGTATTTATGTTATTTTTTTACTAAATCTGAGCTCAATTTGGAGGCTTAAGGGCCGAAATAGCCCCCAAAACCTTTAACAGAACCATTTTCAATATGCAAATCGATGAAAAAAATTATTATTAAGTGGTGAGTGGGCCCCGCTAATGGAATTTGTTGACGGCGAGGTTACCGTATAGACACTGAATGTATTTTGGGGTTACAATGTGGATTTCTCAAAGGGGGGGCACATAGTAGAAAACGGAAAGTTACATGGTTATAATGTAGAAAAACCTAGAAAAAATTAATCCGTTATGTTTAATGTCATCAGGCTCGTCATTATTCTTAATGCTACATTCACTCAATCAATGTATTTAAAGGCTGAATGGCAAAGACATGATCAGATTGATCACATGAGAAAGTAAATGGACTTGCGAATAGCCTAACATACAACTTACGAATAAAACATGCTCATTAGTAAAATTTATAATAGAAGTACAAAGGATTTGGTTGTGACTCGATTATAGTTATTCCTTTTGTGTCAAAAAGAATTACCCAAATATTTATCCATCAGCGAAGAAGTGCATAGAGACTATAACTAAAAAAGGTAAAAAGGACATTTACTTACTGGTTTGGTCCATACCTTTATACATTTGGGTGAAAGTGAAACCATTACCTAAGCCCAATATGAACATGTAGTTGTAACTTGTAACTTATAAGTTGTAACAAAGAAGACATGATATAGAAGCAAAATCTATTAACAAGAGTTGGCTCAAGTGGTAAACAACTTGATGTCTCTTAAGGGAGGTTTTGGGTTCGAGGCTCGCTGTATGTAGAAATTCTTGTTGGGAGACTCACCCACCATAAGCTAGGTGTTATCCCGAGTCGGATTCGGATGTAGTCGGAGCTAAGCTTCGGTGAACCGGGCGTGCATCCTAAAAAAGATATAGAAGCAAAATCTCCTTGATACTTTGCATTGTGCGATTGAATAACGAGAGATTGGGACTCACACTTGGTAGTGAAGAAAAAGTTTCTGTTGAGAAGAGAATTGAAACAAATTTGTACGAAAATTAAATCTATAAAACACAACTAAGTATGGGGTTGAGAAGGAGAATTATCTGGCAGTTGTGGAGCAAAATAGAAAAAAGTTGCAACTTCAATTGAATATGATTGAATTAAAACTTATTTGGACTTGTGTCAAACTGGTAATTGAGATGATTCATAAAACTAGACTCTAAGTTACATCTTGAGTCAATAAAGGCCAATAAATAAGGGAAGTTGCATCACACTCGCAAAGCAAAAACATAAAATATAAAATCCCCACATAAATCTAGCAAAACTCTTTTGCTTCACCGATGTGGTTAAAAGGTTTTAAGAAAATGCGTTAAAGAAAAATAGTCTTCAGATGTATTTGCTGAACTTTAATTTCTTTGAAATGATTATATTAAGTGGGTTTTTTTATTTTAAAAAATATATAAATCTATTGACAAATGATGAAATGAACATGCATTATGTACTATAACATACAAAATATTTGCTTGACAGTCAATATTGCATTTTTATATTCATACATTCAAATTTTAAAAAAATACATATTCATTTTATTATATGCATATATATTAGATTTCATATACCATATTATATTCGAAAATTGTAGCTTTATAATTATAAACTTCTCTAAATTTTGTCTTCCACATGCATCTACAAATTTCTTATTGAAACACTAATGTTCTTTTTATCAAATTTACATGTTTGCCACATAGGACCAACTAACTCATGTTGGACTAAAATTTGGGTTGAAAATGGTGATATAGTAGTGTAGGTATATGTAGGTCGGTAAAGCAATAGCAATTGGCATTTAGCCATTTCTACATTGTTTCCTGGCTGAAGCCTTCAGCTTTCTGGTCTTGACCAAAAGTATAAAATGCACTTTTGTTAACTATTGTAATGTGTAAATAGGTTTAATAAACAAGGCGCATTAACAATGTGTTAGACCTTTATTTGCTTATTAGATTGCCAGCAAAATCCTTAAACTCACTGTTTCTTGTGGCCTCCGCGTGTCATACTTTTAAAAGGACACGTGCTAGCTTTGTGGTGCATGCATGGTATGAGTCAAGTTTATAATAATCTAACTAATGTCTACCGACTAATTAAAGATCTCAAAATAGTAACACTAGTAGAAAAAGGCTCATTTGCGTCGCTCATTTATAGTGTATTTGCGTCGCTTCTATGAGCGACGCAACTGCTCGCGACGCAAATGACTTTTAAGTCATTTGCGTCGCTCCTAGGCGCGACGCAAATAAGAGTCATTTATAAAGGAGCGACGCAAATGACTCTTATTTGCGTCACTCTTTTATAAAGGAGCGACGCAAATGACTCTTCTGATAAACTTCTTTTTTGTTATTTGCGTCACTCCTCTATAAAAGAGCGACGCAAATGACTCTTCTAATAAACTTCTTATTTGTTATTTGCGTCACTTGTTTATATAGGAGTGACGCAAATGACTGAGTAGACAATACAAAATTGTTGTATTTGCGTCACTTGTTTGTTTAATGAGTGACGCAAATGAGGTGAATTTTTGTTTTTTTTTAATTATAATAATTGCCTTGTATATGTTTGTAGTACCTGTTTTCCTTACTAGTGGTATAAAGTAATATGCTAACGCTAATATAATTGAAATTAAAATGCAATATTATTGAATAATGCAAATGTAAATTTCGGCAGAGTCTCCTTTATAATTTGGCCTACCCATAAAATTGGGAATGACGACATTATATTAACAACCTGTCCAATAAATTACATCTCAATATCATAGACATTATACTCATCATCCTGCTTCTGTTGCAAAGGAAGATAAATGGGCATAAATTATACATCATTAGTAGTTATTACTTGTGAACTTCACTGTCATGTCTTTTCCTTGTCATCTTCCATGTAAACGGACTATTAGAATCCACACCAGGCTGTGAAATTTCCAAACCATGTTTCTTAACCAAATCAACGTATCTGAAAATTCAACAAAAAATAAATGACAAAAGTTATGTACTGAATAGCTCAAGACATTAGAGGATATGATGCAGAAAGAGTGCTAACTTTTCAGAATCAAAATTATCCACTCCCAAATCTTCGTCCCAGATAAATATGTAATCATATGGTGCCACAATGTCAGGATGTAGAAATCGTTTTGCATACCACCTTTAACCATACAATGAAAGAACGGATCAGTATGATAAAATTGATAATTAATCTGACCCAATTGCCTTAAAACAAGAGTACTAACCATTTCGTCTGTTTTCGAGCACTGACATGGATAGCACGTTTTGACCACTCAAACTGATCCCACTCAGTCGTCTTACCATCGTAATGGAAGAGCAGAATAGTGAAGTTGTCTGAGAACTGTGCAAGGATAAAAGAGCATATAATTAATACAAAGATGATGTTAGCAGTAATAAAGGACTTGAAATTGCTAGAAAGAAACCTTTTTAACTGCTTTGTCAATATTTTCTTTCATATCTAAGCCAACTGTGAAGGTCACTAGATACTTAGGCTTGGTTTTCAGATCCTGCAGAAGCCATTTTGAACCAGTATTATATTCAAACTTCAAAATTCTATTATCAAAATGAATAAAACTCAGTCTTTGTGCTGATAATGCAATTTATCAAGAAACCTTAAAAGTACATAAATAAATGTTTAAAATTACAGTTCCCTTGCTTATTTTTTTTCCTTTACATCATTACTCAGACCCCTATTAACCCGAAAAGTGTAATGTGGGAAACAGAGTAAAGACTTTTTGTCCAACAAGTATCAAGGATAGTGATTAAAAGAGGAGGTTCTACATAACAGAAGACAGTTTAAAAGTAAGGTGTATGTGAGAAGAAATTTCAGAGACTTGTTATAGTATATTCACATACCTCACTAGGAAGACCCCATAGTCTACGGAGATAGAGATCTGACTTAGAAGCAACTATCCCTGGCGGTAGTCTCTCTGCACCGCTAGGGTTTGATTGGGCCAGCAATGGCACCTGAGAATCCACAACAATCAAACAACAAATATTATTAAGTGATGAGAACCTTGGAAGACTAGTCCCATGCATCAGACCAGAAAAGCCTTAAAAGAAATACATACATGATGCTTGATCTTGCAATGAGTAACAGATGTAAAATATATGTCAGCAATCAGCATGAAGAATTTTTATAAAATGATTAAAGTGGCAACTCGCAAGGGCTACAACTACATATACAAAGTGTGTTGATTGAAAAGTTTCAACAATATAACTGTTTGCTTGTGGTAAAGTTGGGTTCAGAGTTACAGAATCATGCAGGAATACAGCAGTTTTATATGAATGAAGTTGCCTAACATATTTTACCAACAGGATAAAATTACATGAAAAGACTGCAGTGTAACAGAAAAAGAAAAAGACTGGTGTGCATGTACAATAGCAAATTATGATTACCGGAGAAACAAAGAAGTTGAAGGAGATGATAAGCCCCCCCTTCCCATCCAATAATCTCAGCAATAAGCCTACTAAATTCGACAATTCGGCACTCCTCCTATATTTAGACTATCCATCAATCATCATTCTATCATTTGTTCATTCTTCATTATCAACTAAAAATTAATTGAAAATAAATTAAAAATTCCTCTCTTTCTTCTAATTTCAAATAATCAACAATAAATAAAAACAAGAAAATCACAATTTCTGACAAACTCGAAATTTTAATTTCAACAGAAATGAACACAAATTAAGAACAAAATTAAAGAACTTAAACACAAATTAAGCACAAAATCAAATTACCTTCTCATTAAGAGAGCATTTGGACTGAACATACGACTGAGGATCAAACCTATCATTCTGAAACGCGTTTGAGTTGATTTTTTGCTCGAAATGGGGGATTTTTGGTCGGAAACAATCAATTTTTCTGGGTTTAAGGGTTCGAATTTCTTGGGGTTTTTGGTCTAAATTTTTGCTCGAAATTGCTCGGATTTGCTTCAACTTGACTGCAATTTTAATTTAGATGTTAAATTTTCTGGGGAATCGCAGTTTTTTGGCCTAATTTGTTGGATTTCAGAGACGAATTTGTGGGTGTTTTGCTGTAAATTTCAAATAATCAACAATAAATAAAAACAAGAAAATCACAATTTCTGACAAACTTGAAATTTTAATTTCAACAGAAATGAACACAAATTAAGAACAAAATTAAAGAACTTAAACACAAATTAAGCACAAAAATCAAATTACCTTCTCATTAAGAGAGCATTTGGACTGAACATACGACTGAGGATCAAACCTATCATTCCGAAACGCGTTTGAGTTGATTTTTTGCTCGAAATGGGGGATTTTTGGTCGGAAACAATCAATTTTTCTGGGTATAAGGGTTCGAATTTCTTGGGGTTTTTGGTCTAATTTCTTGCTCGAAATTGCTCGGATTTGCTTCAACTTGACTGCAATTTTAATTTAGATGTTAAATTTGCTGGGGAATCGCAGTTTTTTGGCCTAATTTGTTGGGTTTCAGAGACGAAATTGTGGGTGTTTTGCTGTAGAAATTCACTGGAATTGAAGAACTCTTGTTTTTTTTTTCTTTTTGATTAGTGAATGTAGGCGAAGGTAAAAAAACGCAGAAAACCTAAAGCCAAAAGAGTTATTTGCGTCACTTTATTATAAAAAAGCGACGCAAATAACCTTGTTTATGATGTTGTACACAGCTCATATGCGTCGCTCATGTAGTAAAAGCGTGACGCAATTTACTTAATCACTTATTTGCGTTGCTTGTTAACAAATGAGTGACGCAAATAAGTTTATTAATTGCGTCGCTTTAATAAATAAGAGCGACGCAAATGAGAGAAAGCTGAAATGCACTTGAGTTTTGCGTCGCTTCTTGAATAACATGCGACGCAAATAACTTAAAAGGATGGTAAAAATAAACATTTTCTTCGCTCCTTAGAATGAGTGACGCAAATATGGCGACGCAAATGTACATTGAAACACTAATGTTCTTTTTATCAAATTTACATGTTTGCCACATAGGACCAACTAACTCACGTTGGACTAAAATTTGGGTTGAAAATGGTGATATAGTAGTGTAGATATATGTAGGTCGGTAAAGCAATAGCAATTGGCATTTAGCCATTTCTACTTTGTTTCCTGGCTGAAGCCTTCAGCTTTCTGGTCTTGACCAAAAGTATAAAATGCACTTTTGTTAACTATTTTAATGTGTAAATAGGTTTAATAAACAAGGCGCATTAACAATGTGTTAGACCTTTATTTGCTTATTAGATTGCCAGCAAAATCCTTAAACTCACTGTTTCTTGTGGCCTCCGCGTGTCATACTTTTAAAAGGACACGTGCTAGCTTTGTGGTGCATGCATGGTATGAGTCAAGTTTATAATAATCTAACTAATGTCTACCGACTAATTAAAGATCTCAAAATAGTAAGCAGTCTAATTTTTTTATTTTTAAAATTTTTAAAAATGGTAAGGAAGATACTAGGTACTTCGGAAATCTCAAACCTTTTTGGTTCTAATATATTTATGGGAGTAGAGGGGAGTACTGGGGGAATCCTAACCTCTAAATATCTTTCGCTTGGTAGGATTCGAACACTAAACTTCATAATCTAAGGTAAGAGCCGTAAAAACTACTGAGTAAATCAAGACTTTATTCCTTAACATTATACCAGATAAGATCTTGAAAGTTAAAATTTTGGAAAACACACATTAAGACAACTGGAGATGCATCTTATTAGTCCCCAATTAATAGAGTTTTTCCTTTTATTCATCGATCTACAACCAAGGCCAGAATTATTAAATCAAATCAAAACATAATTAAAGCATAATGACTACATAAACTTCGTACTAGATCAATTGTTTCAACCCTATACACTCTCTTCGTAACTTTTTGAAAATTAAATGTGTTATTTAACATACAATTATACATTTTCTTACGTATAAATCACAAACATTACTCAAAATAAACCGTACCAGTGACCTTTTGCTCCTCCTATGAAGCCAGTAGGCCACCGAATCACGTAAATTTAAAAATAATTCTCACCCCACACACACTATTTTTTGGTGTTCTACCCGGTTCACCCTTTGGGCTAATCCGGATTTGGGGATCAGTTCTGGGTGGTTAGGTTCCAGTCCCCTCCCAATTGTTGTTGCGGGGGATCGAACACGGGTCCTCCCTACCAAGTGTAGTCCCAATCACCACTACACCAACGTCCAATTGGTCACCCCAGACACACTATATAAAGCCATGAGCATGACCTGACCAGATATTGTCTCATTTCTCCTCTCTCTCTCTCTCTCAAGTGAAGTCGGCAGGATTTTCAATGTCTCCTTCCAGGAGGCAGATCCGCCATTTTTCTCAATTCTTCAACCTTCTCATTTCTTCTACTCTCCTTTTTCTCTCTCCTCTTTTGCCGTCTTCAAATTCTCCACTATCACTCGTTTTTCCAAGCTTCTTCGTCTCTCACATTCATGGTATTGTGAATTCATCATCTATCACTTGTATAAAAAGTTTCATTCTCTTCCTCTTTCAATTTACTTGTATAATTTGTTTTAGCCTATTAATCTTACTTTTTTTAGCGTAAAATTGTTGTTTATCTAACTATAATCATGATCTTTGTATATTTTTCGTACTTTTTGTTTGTTTAAAGCTCTTATTTATGTTTGATTTCTTAAATTTTGATTTTATCGGCGATCGAATTGTTCAATTATGCTGTTATTTACAATGTAATCTGTGAAAAATTGTAATTTAGCTAATTTTGTTTTCAAATTTTTTTTTACGGATTATAATTTTTTGAGATGACATTGTGTTTTTTTTATATATTTTTTCTCAACTAAATTTGGTGTTTTTAGCTAAATATCTCAATCAAATGTTTAAGGAAACGGATTTTATGAACGAATATGATTCCTCTTCCTAATGACTCATTTAATCATATGATTATGTTTGTATGATATGAATAATTTTGTTGAATAAAGAACTACTATATATATTTTGCCCTAATTTTTTCAATTTAATTTGATGTGAAATTTGATCCAATTTATGCAGGAAACAATCGAAACATTCTTATTGTAATTTAAATCAAGATTGTTAGCAGAATGTCAAACGAACTTTTGAGGTACAAGAATCTTTGTATTTTCATAATATGATTTTGCTTTTAGTCATAAGAATTGCAATGATTTGATCTCAACAAGAAATTTGCTTGATTTTATTTTCTAATTTAATCATGTTGTTAATACAATGAACTACTGCGAAATTCTGATCAATAACACGCTAGTTTTCTGTGACAAAATTCCTTTTGCAAGTTGGCACTAAGGTAAATGCAGCATTTGCTTAGAGTAATTTATTTGTGTACAGTTTTCACTTGTACTTGATGGTTTATTTACCATATAAATATTGCAACTTGCTGCTTTTGCTTTGTTCTATGAAGTTTAAATCCAATTGTGAGTGTGTGTGTGTGTGTTTTGGCTTACATTTCATGATTTGAGTGGGTGTACTGATATTCTACCTCGGTCGTATGTAAAGATTCAGTATCTCTATGTGATGTTATCATTAAGCAATTGTCTGTGATGATGAATCGGTGCTTTATTTTGAAAGAAATTGCATTGAAGTACACGTAAAATATTTTCTTTTCTTAAAGTCATTAATTTCTTTGGATGAAATTTTTATAGTTAGTGTACAATACCTTCTTGATTGTGTACTTATAAAACATTTGATTTGATTTTTTGCGAGTTATTAGTTTCTTGTTAAACTTAAAGAACAAATATAGATAGTTTTAGAAGGTGATGATATTAAATTTTTAATGTTGCGTAATTTTATTTTATTTTTTTAAAGGAAATAGCCTTTTGCTTTCATTCTTTATTGATTTTAGTATGGATGTACCTTTTTTTGTTTTTGTGTCTAGCTTGCTAATTTGTTAGCTATTTGGATAGTAGGAATTCTTTAATGTTTTATTAGAGCATTAGCCCATTATATTGAACAATTTTAAGTTATCATAGGAAAGTAAAGATGTTTCATGTAATTGTACTATCAAGATAGTTTATTTGCTATAAAAAGGTGGTGGTGTTTACATATCTAAAGTAAAGTAAAGAGATTTATTTAGGTAACAAAGGTAGGATGGATACACTCATACAAGTCAAGATCATAAGAAATTGTTAAACAAGAACTCGTTCATCAAACTTGGACTCCACATGTTTTTTAGATGAATTGTACAAATATCAAACAAGATCTTTGTGAGGATGTTTCTTTTAGCGGTTTAGTAATTTTGTTTCTAGAAGGAATGATGAATATATAAATTTTAAGTTTGCCTTGTAGTTTACAAATAAAACACAAAAAAGGAGACGTGTGTGTGCGCACGCGCGCATGCGCACGCGCGCATGCGCATGTGCATATTGAGAAGTATATGACAACTTCTTCCAAATAGTTTAGGATTGTAGTTCTCTTAAGTATGACGTTTGTAATGAGTTAGCCTAAAGTATTAATCCTTATAAGGAGTATGGTTCTCATTGTATCATGAATAGAAGTTAAAGGCTTTCAATTTACCAAGTGCATGCTCTCTATATTCCTCCAGCTTAATTTCTTTTAATCACATTGAGGATGGAGCTAAAGGATTGAGTTACCTTTGATTTTCTGAATTCAATCTAAGGTTTAAGCAAATTGGGGATCGTCTTATGGATGAACCAAGTTTTATGGAAAAAAGAAGTTGGATGAAAGTTAACAAAATAAGAGAGATGGTAAGATAAACCTAAGTTCACCTGAGTTGTATTTTTGTATATATTTATGAAATTTAAGGATTGTGTTGCAAAATTAGTTGTGTTGTTACTAGTGATCATTAGCCGTTTGAGTAATGGTTTAGCAGTTTAATTTTAGCTATTATTATATGGGTACGGAATGGATGTGTGTCCGAATTGTAAAAGTGATAGGTATTACAATGAATCGTTACTTACAAAGTAGGATTTAGAACGTGTAAAGATGCAAGAGGCCTAATTACTTGATAGCAAGTAATATTGTATGAACGTATGGGACATTTGAAAGCTTAGTAAATGCTTTTTTTTTTTAAGGAAATGGTAGTGGTAATACTTAATAGTTCTAGAAAAGTCTCTTTCCATTGTGCCAGTGTACATGTCCTCCATGAGTCCTTGGTAGGCTGATAATGAAACTTTATCCCCTATCATCTGTGATTCATAAACTTTCATTACCACTCATTATAATGCTTATACTTTGCAAAACTACTTGGAGACTAATTACTATAATCTCTTGTTAAATACCTCATAATAAAGCCAAAATCCTTGTCAACACTCCTGACTTAGAGTATACATTGTACTGAATTAGATAGGAAATTAAGGATCATACCACAAGAGATGGTTATCTTGTAACTATGAAAAAATAAACTATGAATTTTGAAAAAATGTCCCTTGTCTTGAATGCCTATAATACTATTGTGAAATAATAATAAAGGTTTAAATTAATGTATAAAAGCCTAGGGGTGCTCCCGCTTTTACTAGATTTGCTATACCTATTGTTGTGACATTGGTTTACTAAACAGTTTTATTAACATCAGCCATATTCTTTCAAAAGAGCAATTAAAATCAACAACAATAAGAGAAATTAAAAGTAAACAATGTATTAGTTCAATCAATGATTTCCATCACAGATGAAGATCCCTAAACCCTAGTATGAAAATAATCACTCATATTTGAATTCTTACCAACAATAACAGATATTGAAGACATAATAATTGTAAAAGTTGCTGATAGCAATAAGGAATGGAGAAGAACAATAAGAACCATACCTATGAAATTATGTTGAAATCCCTCTCGAGAGTGCTAATGGACAACTAAGAATTTTTAAGAGAAAACCTAGGTAAAGTATGTTGGAGAATTATAACAAATAGCATTAGCCAAATTCGGGCTTTACATCAAGTAATTACAGCTGAAAGATAGAAATTTCCTACATAGACTACAAATCATCTTCGTGAGAATCTGCCCAGTTGGACTGGGCACGTGATTGGGCCCACATAAAAAATCTTCAAATTCTTCAAAGAGCTCAGATGAGTAAGTCTCAATTAATGCTAAGGGACAAGGGTTAAAACCATACATATATTGCACACATCAGTACCATTACTTAAAAAGCTTTAAACCGTTATCAGTCTTTGGAACACTTTTTTTATTTATTTTTTATTTTTTTTTCTGTAAAACTTTCAATTGGCCACAATTATTGAAGTCAGAATCTTTTCAGAATTTGTATATATTGTGGTAATTGTGTTGAGTATTGTGCATTACAACAGTTGTTTAATGCATATGCAACTTTTATACGTTATTTTGTGCATGGTTGAAGCACCTATCCTTAAGCAAGGCTATTTTTATTTTTTTTGGTCTTTGACGATAATTTTTATAGGGGACATCTGTTAGTTGGTCTGACAGAAGCTATACAGTATTTGAATCATTTGTAATGTAAAATTTTTCATCCTTATGGTACTGTACTACTGTGCCTAGTTTTAAATTCTTTATTGCTTAGTGATCAAAACATTGGAATTCCCATGCTGTTTTGGTACCCACTCATGGGTTAGTATTGTGTAATAAGATACTATATAACACAGCTAACAACTTTCATATTTCATTTGCATTATTTACTCAATTTTAGAAGTGCACCCCATTGATTTATTTAACCTTAACTTGATTATGCAAGTCCTACTCAAGTATAAACATAATGTTCCTTTGGATTATAACTGTGGAGACACATGGCTTAAGCTCAGTGTTGATTATTATGTATTCTACTTCTTTCAATAGCCAAGCATTTGAACATTTCTGTACAATTATAAAAGCACCGACTTTTAGCACTAGAACCTGGTTGCTGTGAAGGATAGACTCTTTTAACTGAAAATTTATGGGAATCCAATTATCCTATACCAATTTCCTCACTGTCTAATATCTTTTGTTAGTGTTTAAGATTTTCTGTCACATACTTGTTACAATACTATTACAGTCCTAAATCATGGGACATGTTTAGTCGGACAGCAGTTTTTGCAAAGTGGCAGTCCCTAACTTTTCCCAAATTTTTGACAATGGTGCTGAACAAGGACAAATTTTCAAAAAAAAAAATGTGAAAGATACTGGATAGGTGCTAATACACTTTGCACTTAAACAGGACATTTGCATCTTTATTACATTTCATCCAGGTTTGGCATTGCTAGCTAATTTCTTAGTCACTGTGAACAATGTTAAAGATTGTTCTATTGATTATCTTGAACTTGTTTCTTGAATCATCTTTGATTTGCATTCGACTTTTGAACAAACTGCATGGACTTGGGAAACTATGTTGACAGTGTGTCAACCTGGCAGACTGCTCTTCTTTGCTAGGCAAGTTCTAGTCTGCTGCAGTAAAAAAAATTTGAAATACAAAAAAAATAAAAATAAAATTAGGGATGATGTTATGTTATTTTTCCTGATAGTTTGCGTGAAAAAGGCTTAGCTGCAAGTTTCTTGCCTAAATTTTGATGCTCTTGCTGCTCTTTCACCATCTTGTTGCTGTGGTTGGCAAAGCTGTAGGCAAATAGGCTCATTTGAATCTTCTTCCATGTTCAGAATATTTCCATTTGTGCGAAAAGAACTTTTGTTTGTACCATCTACTTCCCTTGATCCGTAGAGCTGAGAGGAGAAACATGGTTTTGCTGCTAAGATACTTTTAATTTTGGCTCAAAGCCCCAAAAAATAAAGCATTGCTCCTAGAAATATATGTTAAACCAATTGATTACCCAGTTACCTTCTTTTGAAGCTCCAAGTTTTCTTGACGAATCAGATTTACCTTCTTGTGTAGTTCTAGATTTTCTTGTTGAACGAGATTACCCTGTGATGGTATAATGATTAGCTAATTGGCAAGAAAGCTAGTGACATGAAAATGAGGAAAAGAAAGCTAGGAAGTGCATGAACCTACCGTTCGATTTAGCTCTTGTATTTCACCAAGTAGAAGTTCATCCTACAAAATTGATGTTTGTTTCAGCAAATCAAGGACCAATGTGGATCAGAATTAGTTTTTGCGCTAGAACATTGTTTCTTACCTTTTTGGTATGGACCCCTCGAAGACTCATCTCCAATTGGCTCTCCAAATTTTGCAAGTCCTTAACACTTAAACCAGAGAGTTCTTCACCCATCATTTTTCTGCAAATTCAAACAAAACTAAAGGTAAAACAATGTTTGTTTCTTAGGTTTACTTGGTATAATCCCTTAAGATTTGTTTTTATTTTTATTATCTTCTGTCTTGCGGCTGATAAAATATTCTTATCCCTATATAATAGCCCCGTTGGGTTAGAGTTGTTAGTAGTATTGTTTTGAATATGTTGATGAAAGTTGCATAATAAAAATAGTGTACATAGCTTTTTATTGTTAGAAGAAGTAAGAATATTACAGTGGAGGTTGCTGATGGATCCTACACTAAAGTGAAGAATTTTGGGAGAATGGGCTTTTATACAGGGATGGAGAGTAAAAAAAAAACAACTTCGACTTTCTCTTTGATTTGACTTTTCAGTCATGTCATGTTATGGCTAAATCTAGTCATGCTATGATAAGTTGAGTTGCTTGCGTCAGGAACTGCTTATTCTCTACTAGATGACAAATTTGACACATAGTATTACAATCAACAATAATTTCATACATAATGATTTGTATTGATTCTGCAGAATAATTTTGAACATTTAGGATAGTACCTTTCATAACATAGTCATCTGATTGTCTAACTTGTTGGAGAAAGTTACCTGCTATCTGAGAATATATGCTGCAATGCTACATTTTCTATGATAAATTCAGTTTATATGTAAAATTATATAGTGGAAATTGCAGCCAAGTCAAGGATGAGGCTGCCTACTATATTATATTCAACAATTATTGAGGTGCACAAGTGGAAAGGAAGTTTTGAAAAAAAAATAAAATAATAAAAGATATTTCCTTCGATTGTGTGCTTATTAGATCATGTTGCTCTGTAACTGTAATGAGGCTGTGTGGATTATTAGATACATAAAAAAAAAATATTGGGGAATAGTTGATGCCAGCCTTTGTAGTACTTATGTGTATGTGTGTGTGTTTTTACAGGAAGGAACTTATGTGTTTGAACTAATTGTTACTTGGATCATTATGTTGCATCTTTAGGATTTCGGAATTGAATTGACATTGCTTAGACATATCGTGATGGAAATACTTTTATTGCATTATGTGACTGCAAGACCTTGTTTTGTACAATCATAGAGTTGGCAAAAAATCGCTTTATTGAGCTATGGCATTGTTGTCACCAATTTTTCCCTTGTGTTTTATCCTCAAATTAAAATGGTGTTAAGTTGCTGAAATATCTGTGTTTGCTTCTCGCCGACTAACTGTTATGTCTTATTTAGCACTTTGTGCATTCCTGCCCTTTCCTACTGACCTTTATCATTGATGTGTCAGGGCAAGCATGCATTTGAAGGTATTAAGAGACCCCTCTGTCTATTTTTGATGGTATGAATGGTACAAGATTCTAAAGCTTTTTAATTTGGATAAATTTTTCTATGAAGGAAAAGCTCAAGTATGTGGTATTTGAATTACAGCTGTCTATTCATGCTGGACATCTTTAAGATAGACTCTGTGAACAATATCAAATGCAGGTCTTAGCACAGTCAATAGAGATATCCCTCCTCCAAAGAAGTTTAATTATTACTTGGTCCTTGAAAAGCATGGCACTATAATAATCCATTACTTGCATGATGTTTCTTAAACCTTGAACTTTCACTAAAAGCATTTTGAACATGAACAAAGCCAATATACGTAGCAGAAGAGATTAGCACTAGAAGAGAGAAACATAGATTTTTATCGCCTAGATCCGATGGTAGTTTACTTGCTTGCTTGAACAACAAGAGGTTCTTAAGCACAAAAAATATACCACACCTTAGCAATGAAATTACTAGAATGTATTAAGGCCTACGTGTACACTGAAATAGCTAACAATAAGTTTTTGCAAAAAAAATGATGCTTCCAAACCATGTTTGTATGATTGTGAGTTCTTATTACTCGTAATCTTAGATTAGTTTTGAAAAGCAAGATTGTCCATGTTTGGTGGACAACTTGTTCTTTTTGTTGGTAAATCTTTTTTTCAAATGTCAATATAATCCGAGGATGGCAAATGAAATTGTTGGTTAATTTTTATAAAGGCAATTAACTCCTTTTTTTTTTTTGGAGGCAATTGTCCAATCCTACTGTTTTATGTAGGGTAAGTAATTGGTGGGATTCTTAACCAACATGATGTTTTTCGATTCCCTATTAGTGTAACAGGTTAATAATTGAAATTTAATTTTGAAAGTGGTAATTAAAAACATAATTTTGTTTGGAACTTGGAACTTTGGAAGCCTTCTATGATGATAATCTTTGGTAGAAGAATGATGCTACTTATGTCAATGTATCACAACATATTTGATATCCTACAATTTAATATTTGGTACCTTGAATGTGAAAGATAATTCCTCAGACTCTATATGTCCAACAAATGGATCACCTTGATGGTACCTTCTTACAAGGTAGCTTGTATTCATGCTAGCATATCTGTTCACTCATGTCTATTCATGCCATAAAAGTCTCTTTTGAAAGCTTTCTCGATATAAGGAATTTCTTTGTTTAAAGAAAATCATCTAACTCTTCCAAAAACTATTCTTGACCTAGTCTTTCAACCCTATAGTTGTTTATTCTTCATCTTTTAAGGATTAGTAAATTGGATCTTCTCGGTAATTTTTCCAGCTTCTTAACATGTTATCAAAGCTCCTTATTATTCGAGATGGACACTTTTATTCCTATTTTTCATTTATACCAAATTTGATACCTGTTAAACCCTTTGCGTTGTATTTTGCCTACCTAGTCTCTTGATATAATGTTATATTGGATATTGCCCTTTTAAGTTCCCCCAACAGTAAGGACATGCCTTTAATAGTCCAATATTCCAAGAGTGCATCCAACATTTACTTTTAGACTTGAAGTTTTCATTATTTCTTGAAAAATGCCACTATAAAGCCATCACACAATCGTATGGGTAAAATATGGTGGTTGTATATAGTTATATACGTATTAGTAGCCAATTTTACCTTTATATATGCATGAAATCATATGTTTTTTTTTTAATTAACTATTTTACGTTCTCTTTCTCTTTAAATTGTATTGGGAATTTTAAACTTATTATAAAGCAAGATTAACTCTGAATATTGTTTCATCTCCTAAAAACAACATTGTTAGCATTCAAATTTTGACATATCATTTCAGTTTTAGAACACTCTAAACACATAAAATTTGCTAAGAGTTGACATATATGTAGATTGATATAGAAGTTGAAGATAGTACCGATGATTTTCTTGCAAACTCTCTAATTGTTGCCGTAGCATAGCTGCTTCTCTTTGCCAAAACTACAATGTAATGGTAGATGTTAGAATAATACACGTGCACGTTGAGGGTAAAAGAGCTAATGTACCACACAACAAACCTTGCGCCACGATTAACAACTTGTATCATCAATAGTAAAGTTGATTGATGACCTTAACCTAGAGTAATATAAGTTAGTGATGTTTGTTTGTGATGGTGAATAGCATGTACATTGATTTAATGGAGATCTGGGAGGTACTTATTATGATGATATAAGGAAAATTATTCTAAAGGTGTTTAAAGCATCGGCATGTATTTATTGCATTGATGTGTCTTTTACAAAATATATTATTGGGATCAAGAAGGTATATTGTATTAAGGAACTAGGCCTTATATTTTTGTTTTCCAATAGCATATGATCTTGGGACTAAGGCTTTGTTGTTGTTTTAGAAGCTTATGATCTTCTAGTTCAAGCTACATACTTGTGAAAATGTTAATAGTTTAGGTATCTATGGTAGCACATTTATGGTTGATTTGATTTGTTGTTTATATCACTCATAGTTGCTTGTAAATGTGCCCTTACAATTAAAGATTTACCTCTTATATGATGACTTATCTATGATTGGATTTAATCGTTTCATGTCTGCCAATTTAGTTGACCTTTTGGATTCAACATATTGGTGTTATGGATTTTTCCCTCTAGCCTCAAAAAAAAAAAAAGGGGGTCATTATTTGTCATGGATGTTTTACTCTAGAAGCAAATTAACATTTTGGTTTGATGGACATTTTACTCTTGAGTTGCTGCTTGTTTTTATTTAAGAAAGGGAAGGAGGACACTAAGACGGAGAATTTCCTTCATTTGCCACTCTCTTTCTATCTCTTTATTATTTAATCCTTGATAGATAGTTCCTTAGCCAATCTCTTCCTATTTGATATTGCCAATGATAACAAGTGGTATTCCCTAAGATCTTAGGTTAAAAAATATATACATCACTTTATAAGGAGGTATGATGATGGAAAATACGAGAGAATAGGACCATAAGTGGTCGTCATCAAATGTATATGAAATTAAGCTTCAAAGGGTTAAGGAATGAGGTTGAGAGTGTAGGAGACGTTAGGGAAGAGGTTGACTTGGTAGATTGCCAAAAAGCAATCATCGTCAAATGTATATGAAATCAACCTTCCAATGTAGTAGGGATTAAGGATTTAAGAGTAGGGAAGAGGAGAAGGACTTGATTGGTTATTGGGGAAAAGAAGACTCCTTTGCTAAGCTTTGTTGGAGGTGGTTAGATGAAACGGTCATAAAGGTCTAAATTGGTGAGGAGGTGGGGATGTTAAGGGTGGTGATTATGAGTAGGTATATGATGCCTAAAGAAAGCATGTTCGGCATTGATTGGAATCATGAGATCTCCGATTATATTTTCTGGATTCAATCATTCAATTAATCAAAGCCTTAATCCCATAAGTGGGGTCGACATTTTCAGGATTCATGGAAAGAAAATATTGCATGATGGCATACAAGGGGAGAGATGGTGATTCTACTTACTAAGAAGATTTTCACTTAAATGACTACTTTGCCACTCTTGTATTCCGGGCCACTCCTGTATTCCTTCTATAGAACTTGAAATAAATACATATCTATGTTATACTTGTCTTGACAAGTCATAAGAGGGAGAATACGAATGAGTGATTTGGTTCACCATTAGGGTTTGGAATCAAGAATAGGAAATTACTGTTAAGAAATTAAAATCCAGTAATTGCCTATTTTGTTTTGTTTAAAGGGGAAATGCTTTTATTTTATCCCATTTGTGTTTTATGAACTGTATTGATTTCCTTTGCTAAAATTTTCTCAAACCTATATGCTTTTTACTCTAAACGTTTTAACCACCTCTTTAAAACTTTCTTGAATTTGATATTTGTTCTCTTTTAAAACTACCTTTATTGTTCTTGGATGCTCTTTTTCTCATTTTACTCACCTTTTTTCCAACTCTTTCGACTAAATATCATGTTATGTCCCTTTTTATATTGTACTGTTCCTTATGGCAGTTCATGTTAGCCAACCCCAAATCATTTTGTGATTAAGGCGGTGTTGTGGTTGTTATATTCGATTCACTGGATATCAAAACCCACAATCTTTCTCCTTGCTTATGGAAGTGGGTTGCAATTTGGTTTTCATGGACATATGTCCAACCTGAAAATTCTCCCCACCTCCTAGCAATACCTTGAATGATTTTTAAAGGGAAAGGAAGCAATGCACAATTTAACAGGAGCAATTCAGACGCCAGTTGCAATCTGAAATTGCAGCCCTGAGGAACTTGCAAGTGCAGAGGCATGGATTGTTATGTGTCTCCAGTGATAAACCGATAACCAAGATAGTTGGCATGATTTATAAGTGTATATGTTTGATCATTTATTCCACTAGGTTATTGTAGTGGTTCTTTTAAGTGTAGAGAGGAACCGTTATTCTCTAACTGGGTTCATCCATTCATAACAATGAAAGAAACATAATTTTCTGAAGATTTGCAAACCAATGGTGGAATTGGTGTATTGGATATGATTTTGGTATTTACGTATAGGATCGGTTTTGTCTCTTCTTGTGCAATTGTCCTATACTTTCCTTGTCTGAGGTTTTTGTAAAAGTTCGCTGTATTTAGCCTGAGCGGTGGTGCTGATGTATAAAAAATGGTTCTCCAAGATTCGATCCTATTTGTTGTTTTAGCCAATCAGCACAGACTAGCAGTAGATCGGGAGACTCTAAATTCTACTCCTCTGATGAGTTTAATATCGATGTTTAATATTCATAGAAGCTCATTGCATACCTGTACTGTAGGCTTGTGTTCTCATGAACTTCCACTCCTTTTGCATTGCAAAACTTGGTTGTGCTGTTTGCTTCTTGAATATGGTGTTGATGATTACTGGATATAAGCTACCCTCACCATGTTTTGCAAACATTAATGTCCATGAAGACTAAACCAAAACACTTCATCCTTATGCTCCCACCTGACATTAGACAAAATCAATGAAGTTCTATGTTTTGCCTGCATACGTACAAGTTTCTCTGGTCTTGTGCCTGAACTTCAACAGTCTTCTTTTTATACCTATCAAGAGAAACGAACTAACTTTTAATGGAATTTCTTTGATGCATGCATTATCCAGGTCAGAAGATTTGCTCTCAGTACTTTTGAGAAGCCTTGATCACCTTTTAATCATCTGCAATTTTGACGAGATGATGTTAAAGGCCATCCTTATTGAAGAATATCAAATCTAATGATATGCATGTGATATTTTGATGTCGGATACCTGTCCATCTAAGGAGTTGTTTCCTTATTTAATCAGAGGACCTCACTTCATGAGAGCCATTGCGAGAACTAGAAACTCTTTAGTTTCTCCTTTTCCCCATCTTATAGGGAGTCGAAACTTTACTGCACTCTCTTTATAAGAGAATTCAGGAGATCATATAGAGGTAAGTAGATGCATTAGACTTTTAGATGTATGGCATTAGTCATAACATTCAGCACCTTCAATAAGTCCAATTTTCCATTTCAACTGGGATAAGTGGTTCATTATAGTGATTCTTGTTTTATATTCAGGACTTTGGAATCCTGATACAAATAACAAATGTGTTTTTCTTTTCTGTCCAATTCAATTCCAAGCTCCCTTCCCAAAATAGCGTAGACACAATCAATGCATATCATTTGAGTTCTTAGTTTTTGCATTGATGACTTTAAGGGATGGCTGATGAGGAAGGACATTCTATCCTATATGATCTTTTAGCTTCAATTTATGCTATGCCTGAATTCTGATTCCCAAAGGAGTGATTTTGGTGTAACTACTTAGTCCCTTAATATGATGTGGCCGCTCAGTGTGATAAATGTTTGCTATACTAGGGTAGTATCACCACTAACTTGGATATGCCTGAGTTACAAATTATCCAAAACGTTGAAACCGATGAATGAACTGAGGCACAGCCCTATCATCCTTGCACCAAAAACAAACTCTACTGTCCTTTATTGAGTTTGATTCTGTTGTCAGTTGATAGTTGCAATTGAAGAAAGTTCCATGAAATATGTGGAAGCTCTAAAGCACTTTTTTTTTCTTTGAGGGGAAGCTCTAAAGCACTTGGTGTTTCCTATCCTCTGGTTTTGGTGACTGGTTATATCCATTTACCACACCTGAGACAAATTAGCTCCACTGACTTGTTTCCCAGACAGTTGACATTGGAGCAATCTGAGATCTTTAATCTTCAAAAGGTCCAATATTACCAGAATATGCATCTTTCACACCTTGGCTTGTTTTACTTCTTCAATGTGTGTATTTGATGGATTCTTATACCTCTTCTTGGTACAAGTTCCGAACAGCTTTTTGCTTCTAACTCATGTGCTTCATCTTTGTTCGCAGTATGTGGTGAATCGTGACTCATTTTGCCCTTCATCTTACTGGCTGATAGCTGTTCAAGGATCATAGATCTTGTGATTTAGGTATGTTATTTCTACATTAGACCCAAAGGGTTGATTATTCAGGTATTTATGTGTTATTTCCTTTTACTTTATGATTAGGCTGCTAGTAGTTAGCAGAGTAACATGTTAAAAGACATGCTTGTTTTCAACATGAGTTAGGCTATAAGGCAGGGACTAGACCCTCCTCATAATGATGTATGAAGAGGGTAGCAGGAGAGATTTGACACATTGCAAGACCATTTGGTGGTATCTTAAGCAGAGTGTTTAATTTGATTTTTTATGCTTACTCTTTAAAATTTGTGTTTTCCTGTTGAAAGAAGATAGGCCTAAGTTGTATTTGCATTTTTAGCATCATGATCAACATCAATCTGCCACCAATGCATATTAAAAGGCCCATCCCCGTCATGATTTCGTTGATATTTGATAACATTAGTATGCTTTGTGGATTCTGTTTGACAAAACCATGTTAGAAGCTTGAGTATAGGTTTTAGTTTTAGCAGACAATAAACTATGTGATTTTACCATTCTGATAACACTTGTGTATACTGTTATTTACTTAGAAATCTACTTTTGGTCTAGCTAATGTTTCTGTTTCTGATAATATTAGTGTGCGTATTAGATTCTGCACCTCAGTAAATATGAAATATTGCGGAAGAAATCTACTATGAATCAAACAAAACCAGTAACTTTCTGCTTCTTTTTGGCGTCACAAAGTTGCCTTCCCTAAAAGGAGATGACATCAATGAGCTTATTGTAGATCTATTATGCTTAGGTTCTGAATCATACCTTGACCTCTGAGTTGGGGTTTGCTAGCTGTTGATGCTCCTCTTTTGTCTTTTTGTATCGTTCAATCACTGATTTCATACTGTAAAAATAGGAAGTAACGTAATTTTAAATATCTGTACGGAAAATCTAACGGTAGACATCAAAACTATGCAGAATGGTGATATAAGAAAACAACTTATGTCAATTCTGGTTAGAAGCTTGTGTTCATAGATGATTGTATCAACTAACTTTATACACTTAATTTTGGTGTAGGGAACTGTTTTATTGATGCAACAGAACTACAGAAGCTAAACTACTATAGGCATATTTCCTACATGATCGAATCATCCAAGAACCTTATCCTTCAAATTGAAGCAAACAAAAATCTTTCTTCACACTGACATTCAACAATCTTTCTAAAGTGCAGCAGACTGCGGAGTTTCAACGATCTTTTGGCATGATCCTTGGACCATGGACATAGAAACAACATCTCTTGTTCATAGCCACATCTAAAACTTTAATTGGTAACCTAGAGAAGGGTGAGTCATTAAGTTCCTTTTTCATTGTAAAGCTGACTACAAAGTTTGCTCGTCCATTAATGAGGATAGTTGGAATTAAATCAGGGAATTGTAAAGGTAATTAAAAGCTATTAGATGTATATATCTCAAAACCATTTACCAGTGATTATATGTGTATGATGGTAAAGCCCCTTTCCAACTTAAAATTTCAATGCACTAATCAGGTATGGCTGCTAACTTTTCAGGTGTGCTTAGATGCCTTTTTGGACACGCCCAAGTTGTGAAATGGCTCAAGGCCTGTTTGGTAAGGAGTTATAGTTTTGTTAAGAAAGTTAACATGTCAATGTTTATTATGGTGATCGAACTTTGTCTCTGAGCATGTGTTTTTCTTCATATAATTTCATTGTCACTTCCTCAGTGATGACGGAATTATATGATGAAACGATGATATTTGGGGATGGACAAGCATAACCATGGCATTGGCATAATGCCGTAATGGCATGAGACTCTCTTAACAAGATTAATTGCCTATAATACAGACTATAATACATAGTTACATGTGATGTTTTGCTAACTATTTAGGAGGAAACGTCAAATGTGGCATTTTGAATCTGCTAGGGATTATAAATTGATTGAACAGTAATGCCTAGTTTATCTAGCAGAGGGTTTCTAAACAGTCGAGTTCAAGTTTAGGGAAAAGCTCTAACTTGTTGGCTAGAGTAGTTAGGAATTATTTATCTTTAGAGAGGTATATATTGTGTGTAAAACTTCTAAAGGATAATTTTGATAAACATAATAACTCTAATGAATTGTAGTCTTTGTGCTTCCAATCTACCATACACAATAAAAGCTGAAGAACAACTAAGAGATTCTTCACTAACAAACTAATTGTCTACTTAGATTGTCATGTCAAGTAGGATTTTAAGCTACTCTATTTTAGGTAGTTTGTACCCAAATGATAGCAATTAGCTAGTGTCTATTAACTTTTTGTCAAGCAAATTAGTTTAGCCAAGCTTTTTCCCATTTTCAAATCCAAGTAACTTGAAACTTCAAAAAATTGATCACATTTTCCTAGCTACCACCATTATAGTACCAATCATCAAAGAGGGAAAAAAAGGGATTGGCTCATGCAAAATGGTCATAATCCATTATTGAATGAACAAATTTCAAATGTAACTACTCTTTTTGGCCCACTAGGGCCTGTTCTCATACGTTTAAATTCAGTTCAACTCAGCTCAGCTCCTAATTTTCTTCTCTTATAAAATATTCATTTTAACTCAGTGTAGTTCAGCTCAACTCAGCTGAGTCAGTGGCCCTAAGATTGCTGCATACTACAAAAATAATTCGTGTGCTACCACATAAAGGCCTTGTTTGGCAAATGGCTGTTGGCAGTTGGCTGGTTCACTTAGCTTGTTTGACTAGCTGGAATGTTTGGCTGTTTATAATGGCTTTTGAAATTGGCTGTTTAAGCTAGCTGTTTATAAAAGTGTTTGGTAAATTAATTGTTGGTTGTTGGCTGTTGGCTGTTTATTAGATAATTTGTGGGCCAACAAGCCAAAAGCCAACAAAAAAGCTACTCAAAGCAGCTTTTTCATTTTGGCTTAAAAGCCAGCTTTTTCGCTGACTAAAAAGCCAATTACCAAACACATTTTTTGACTGTTTGACCACCTTAAAAAGCCAAAAGCTAACCAAAAAGCTATTAAAAAGCCAATTACCAAACATGACCAAAGACAAAACTAGAAATAAACTTGTAGTCACTAAGGGGTATGGAACAATCTAAATAGATTGGAGGGATAGTGGATCTAAGAGGACCTAAGTCACTATCAAACCAATATTTAGTTAGATTAAGGGCATGTTCTCATACGATTATTTTCAGTTCAATTCAGCTCTAATAAGTTAAGTTAATTCAGCTGAGTTCCTAATTTCCTTCTCTTATAAAATATTCAATTCAGCTGAGCTCCTAATTTCCTTCTCTTATAAAATAGTCAATTCAGTTCAGCTTAAATAAGTTCAGTTTCACTTCAGCTTAAATAAGTTCAGTTTAACTCAGCTCATTTCAGTCAATGAGAACAGACCCTTAGTTTTACTTCTTTCTTTGTATATTCTAGCCTAGTGTGAAGGTTTTCTAGTTTTGTAGGGTCTTTAAAAACAATATGTGTATTCATATAATTGTTTTATTCTCTGAGCAAGCCCTAGATCATCTTCATGATAAACGCTATTGCAAAGAAGTGACAATTTTGTACTACATAAGTAAACAAAAGTATTCAATGTGTTATATGGTATGTGTATAACAAACATGTTATAAGAGTGTAATTTTGTTGACTTATGTTTAAAATTGTCACTTGATTTGCAATTTGGATTTTCTCTCATCTCTCCACGATATTATGATGTCTAGCAAGGCAAAAGGATGCTTATTAGATTCATATACTCCTTCCATTTCTTTTTTATTGGTTTACAATTCATCTTGATTTTTAGTTTTCAAATATATAATTTTTATGTATTGTTTATAATACATGATTTGAGATATTTTAATTATATTATTGAATTGAAAATTGTGTGAAAAGCAAATCTGAAAAAACAAAACATGGAGTATAAAGGATACAGAACCTGGGTTTGAAATATATTTTAAGGAGCTTGTCTCATTTGACAGGATTCACTTGAATGGACAAGTTTATAAGGTAATTTAACAAGGCAATTTAGTTTTTTTTTTTTTTTTGAGGGAACAAGGCAATTTAGCTTGAGTATTGTTTTTATTATTTTTCATACAAATTTTTGTTACAACCCTTTATTCCTTAAAATTATTCCTACTTTTCATTTCTAGTTTATAAGGTAAATTAACAAGGTCGGTTTTTTTTTTTTTTTTTTTTTTATGTTGGGTTTTTTTCCACTATTCATAGGTTTATTTTAGAGGTGATCAACATTGGCTCGGCCCGCTAGCTCGGCCCGATCCGGCCCGAAAATAGGGCGGGTTTGGGCAAGCATAAAAAAAACATTTTTAGTTAAAAAGCCCGAACCCAGCCCGAAAAGCCTATTTTGGTCCGATAAGCCCGCTACTTTTTTACAGGTTTGGGCGCGAGAAATTGTGTTCCGGCCCGGCCCGATTTTTATCACCTCTAGTATATTTAACTATAATTTCTTACAAATTTAATAAAAATATATTTTTTTAACTTGACTAAAACACTGTCATAAAATATACATTACTCTCTCAGTCTCATAATATAGTTTTTGTTTGTGTTTTTTCACGGTATTTAAGAAATGGGAGGAGAAAGTAGATGAATTACATTTATAAAAGTGAAAAGTACAATCATAAATAGAATTTAGAGAGAGAGAAAGTGGACAAAAGTACAAAACATGTGCAAAACTCAAGGGTAAATTAGGAAGTACAATGTATAAAGTTATAAAAAAAAGTGAGGGTATAATAGACTTTACTACTCTCCAAAAATATAAACAGGAATAACATTTTGGATCTCCAAAATAGGAAAAGTGGAAACTATATTATGGGACAGAGGAAGTATTAAATAAATATTAACAAAAAGTTTTGTAATATTATTTTCGCAAATTTCACCAAATGCCCCTGAGTTATTTTTTTATTCACTATATACTTATGAAAATTTTCAAATTCACCATATACACTTAAGTTTTACAAAAATGTCATGACCCTCTTCCCCTTCCCCTTCCCCTTCCCCTGAACCACCATACCCCATCAACCTTGCCTAAAACCTTCCACACGTTTCCATCTTCGCCAAAACCAGCAACCACCCCAAAACCCCTTCGCTGACAACGCAAACCCCTTCGTCGGCAGCCCAAACTCGTTCCCCAACGTCGCAGGTATGCCTTGACCCGGACATTTCTTCAAATAGAAACCACCCCAAAACCCCTTCCCCTTCGTCGGCAGCCCAAACTCGTTCCCCAAATTAGCCGAAATCCACAACCTCGAAATCGTTAAACCCCAAAATCGCAACCCTAGATTTTGATTTTAGGTTTTTCTATTTTAGGGTTCCGACGTGGTGGCTCAAGGGGTGGAGATGGAAGGTTGAAGGTCGACCAATGTTCTCCGGCGCAAGAAGAGGGGTTTGGACGACATTGGTGGGAAGGAGAGGAATTTTCGAGGGAAAAGGGAGTTTTGCGGATCGGTGGAAGGGTGGCTGGGTTGCCTCGACGGCGCAGGCTGGCTGCGATAGGTCACCAACGCTGTGGTTCAGGCTAGGCCGCCGGTGCAGTGGGGATAGGGTGGTGGTGGTGGAAGTAGGGTGGTTGTTGGGGCTGGGTTGTGGAGGGGTGGAGGTTGTTTTTTTTTTATTTAAATAATAAATAAATATTTAAACTATTATTAATTGAAAAGACAACCAATAAGATGATGCCACGTGGCATACTTAACTCTAATGACTAACGGAGTTAACGTCCGTTAGTCATTTGGGCATGTGGTGACATTTTTATTAAATTCAGAGGTATATTGTGAATTTGAAAGCTTTGATGGGTATTTGGCGAATAAAAAAATAACTCAGAGGCATTTGGTGAAATTTTCGTATTATTTTTCTTCATATAAATAAGGTAAAATTAATGCATCGCTATGTGTGCAAAGTTTGACTGTGTCAATTATTCTGGACAAAGGAAATATCCCTCCCCCCCCCCATTAAATTATTAATGATTCTCTCCTTTTCTCTCTTGTGTGTGTAGTGTGGGTAAACTAGTAAAGATAAGAATTCATTAAAGTCAACAAAACTATGTCTTCGGATGGTAGGGATATATATAGTGTACAAGATTTTCTTATACACCACTAATGAAATGTTGCCAACTCAGTCAAGATCAGAGGGAAAGGAAGAGAAGGATAGCCTACTTCAAAATAAAATTCCCTATTAACTAATAGGGAGCTTGGTGTACAAGGTTGTTTTGTACACCAAGTGTTCCCCTCCCCTCCCCCCTCTTTTTTACCCTCTTTTGAGTCCTTGTTACCTATTTAGTTTTAAACTATCACGGTTATAATGTTATATTTCCTTTTTAAAAGTAAAAAATGACAAACTTTAAAAATTAAGAAACGAATGGAGTACATTGTTTCAATGGTGTATATCTCTTTTTCCCCATAAGTTTTTTACTCATGCTCCTTTACATTAGAAATTAAATTTAAAAAAATGGGCTTTAATGTAAGGGAATAGAATAGACTATAATTGAATTGCTTGATACATAAAAACATTTTAGTATTACTGATTTCCATACATAACCTGATTTCTGGGGTCATAACTTCCTTATCCCCTTCCCCCTTCTTTCTCTGGAGAAAGGAAGGTGTTGTTTGATTGACCCTAACAAAACAAAGATTTTTGAATAAAATTATAGTATCAAGAGGCATAAGTAGGCATTATAAGGTCACATACATTCTCAAACAACATGAAATTATAATATTGAAATTGGGGACATGGTGATCAAGCAAATCTTCCCTAACTATATTATTTTCCATTCTAAAATAGGTTACATTTCAGTATTATTATTGAAGTGTTTTTTTTAAGACAAAATTAGTTGCAATGGCATAACCTAACTCAAATGCACACATTAACTTGTGCACGCAACGACATATTTACATTGTAGTCCTCGATTGACATGAATAATATCTAAGAAAGCAGACCGTATATGTCACGAAATGTAGTTTATGTTATTGTGTGCACTTTTGGTCCTAGTTTGTGATGATGTTTGTACCCACAATATGTTGTACTATTTTGTGCACCTGGACTGTAGTTGGTGCTATTACAACCAAGTTCATGCTTTTTTTGGCAAAGGCATATTGTAATCTAAGTGTTTAAAATAGCTAAATAGTGTTGGGAATATTTGATCTTTTTAGTGGGTGCAAATGTGTGTCTATAATTGTACTCTCGAGTTACCCTAGGTTATAAGTCGATCTTGTCTTGTCTTTTTTTTTTTTTTCAATTGCATCCTACTATAAATCCTCGTATCAACAGATAAAGTAGTGCCTTTAGGTGTAATTTAAATAAGTGTAACTAAGTCATTCCCCATCAATGCATAGAAGGTTGCTTATTTCATGAATTCAATTTATAAGGTATGGTTTAGAATGGTCTAAACTGATTCTAAGCCCATATCACGTGATTCATTTCTTTGCTTGATTCTAAACTCATACCTTAAACTCCTGGAGAGAGTTGGGTTTGATTCATACCAATATTTTCAAGTATTAAATTAGAGATGACAATATCATTCTATATTTCTAGATATTAAACTAAACAAATGGCATTAAGAATCTAGTTCCAAATCTTTATATACCATCATGCTTTCATTTTTTATTTCAACTCCGTACCACTCTACAAATTAAACGCCTCATAAGTGTTTTGAATAGGGTAAATACGAAAGGTTATTGTTGGTGATTTTACTCGATTAATTAGAAAAATAAGCGGAAAGCAATGATTAGATGTCACATATAGCAAGTATTAAGAGTAAAACACTAAATTAACTTTGAAAATATGTATACGGATTAGGTAAATATTCTTGTAAATAGGAATAGTTAAAGGGGATAGTTCCATGGAAAGTACTCTCTATGTTTAAAAATTATCTTCTTATTTGGAATCTTTTGTGTAAATCAAGGCAAGGGAAGAATCTTGAAATAAAGTACATGTAGACCATTCAAATATAATACTCTAACAATTATTTTTAGAATAAAATACATTGAGATCACTTATTATTTTGGAATAAAGTACATTGGGTCCATTTATTATACTCCCTAAGTTCTTAAAAGTTCTACTCACATTGCATTTGCATGGTCTCCAATGAACATCTTTGACTATGTATAAGTAAAAATTATAAAAATTTGATATTTGAAAATTTTATCATAATGGGAATCTAATGAGATCAAACTTGTTAATTTATTTTGATTGTGTAAATCATAAAATATGGACAAAGTTATTTTATTTTGACCATATGAATAATAAGTGAGTCGAAGTTTCAAGAACGGAGGTAGTATATGGTTTGCGACCATTAAACGAGGGTAATATGAGAAATAATGAGGATAGGTGACGAATTAAATTAGAATGTGGAAATATCATTTGAAGCACGGAAAATAGAAAGTGAAAAGATTATTTTGAAGCGGATGGAATTTGTATGTAGGAGGAAAATGTGTGCAAAAATTATTTAGAAAATAATTAATATGTAACTTTAAACGAGAAAGTTTAAAATGACAAATGTAACCCTTTTTCATGAAAGACGGATGTAGTAGGTCAGGAATTAAATTAAAAGTGGCTCTTGAATAAGTGGGAGGACAACTTTAAGACTTTTCTTGCTTGAACCGCGACTGAACTTCTGCTGGCATTAGCGGACAGGATTGAAGGGGGATTGAATTGCGCTCACTTAGTGATGGTCAACAACTCATATTTCCTCTATTTCAAATAAAGTACATTACTTTGACTAAACTCGTGAGTTTATTTTGAAAAAGTGTTGCACTTTTTATAAAACGGAGGATGTATATACTTATATTATGTTCTCGTCTAATCTTAAAATTAAGTGTTTAATTGTTTGAATCTTGTAAAGTTTAATTTATCATTATTTGAATGTTTCTACTCATTTGTATTCTAATTTTACCTCATGGCCTGACTTAACTTGTTCATATGTGTATGCTAATATATAAGAAAAGACATTATCAATTAGGGTATCATTTTTTTATTAGGATGTTGTTAGATTAAGGCTTTGTTTTCTGTACCTTGTTCTTTTTACTTACTTTCTCTGTAATTAATTGAAACATTTTGACATTTGATATAATTTTATAAACTTTACTTTGACTAACATTTGTGTATTATATATTTAATATTGTTATGTCAAATCTTATTAAACCCATTTTAATTTGTACTTAATTAAAATTCATTTTTTAGTATGTTCTACAACAATACAATTAAAGATAACTTTCGATTGAATTTATGCATAGGCAAACATAAATGACAAACATTATAAAAAAAAAAAAAAAAGGTCAACTATTTTGAAATAGAAGAAGTATTATATTTCTAAATTAGAGCAAATCAAAAGATCGATTGGATTTAATAAGGGGTCGCTCGGATTTATCCTTACATATAATTGTAATCAAAGCAAAATAATGAGCCTAACTAGGAATATCAATGAACCCGATGATTACAATTGCTTAGGATGCCTTTTTTAGGTCAGCAAATCTCAGACCAAATCCGATCTTTATTTCGTTTTCTTATTGTCATATATCTTTAGTTTATTTGGTATATGTATAAATATGTAATATATATTTGAAAATACATGTTGAGATGAATCTAACGAAATCCTACTTGATAATTTTTTTCCTTATACATTTTAATGTTCAATTAAGGTCAAAATCTCGTCAAATCGTACAATTAGATCAAAAAAAATTTAGACGATATCAAATCAGAATACCTTAAATAAGGAAAAGAGAACAAATCTAAGTTCAATCTGTAATTTTAAATATCTCATTTTCATAATTTTTATTAATATGAAATTCTAAATATTTAGCCATAGGCAAACACGCTTCAAAATATATGATGTGGTTCGAACTTTTCTAATTTGATTTGATCTAGTCTCATCCTAATAAGCATATGCTTTAAAATTCTTAAGTAAGGTGAAGAAAACATAAGTACATGAATGTACATGTGTTGATGCTTAGGACATACCCTCTTAATAAGTTTTTATTTATTCTCATTTTGCATAAAGTTTAGGTGATAAAAAATAATTTGATTATCAATTGTCATTTTATTGAAAAATTAGATGTTGTAGAAATTAATGTTGCATTTTTTTAAATTAATTGAGAATAATTTAAAAAAATACAAAGATAAGACACGTTAATTGTAGGAAGAAAGAGATATTGTATAAGACACATATATGAAAGTGCAAGAAGTATATAATCTAGGTCATTCAAAAAGAAAAATGTAAAGATAATCTGAGGACAAATAGAATATTGTAGTTTTTTTTAAAGGATAAAATGAAATTTAATATTGTTCTATATAATAATTATTGTAGCCTATTGTTTTCCAAGATCTATATATGTCATGTTAATTGGTTTCGTTCATCAAAGGGTTTTATCTTTTATTAGCGATTATATTTTATTCACTGTGCACTAGGTGCTCACATCAGTAACTAAACAAACATAACTTTCATTGACAAGTAAAGAAAATAACACAACTTCGACAACCCTATTATGGATGACACTCAACCATGCCTAGTGCCATAAAAAGATTGAGAACTAGGTTGGATTGAATAAATTTTGGCTAGATCCCCTCAACTTTACCCTTAAGGGTGCTTTAATCATCAAGTTAAGGATGCAAAGATACTTAACAACTTAATCCAACTAGGATTTAGTATTCCTCCTCGAGATTCTGTTTATTCCATTATAGGAGATTCATAACAAAAAAAGATACAATGAATCATATTGATTACGAAAAGTACTAGTAGAAAGAAAGTATCACAAATAATCACAATGCATCCTTGAGTAAGAAGGCGCGTTATAAGAATTTGAACTCAAAATTTGTTAAATATAGGAATTTTTTCTTAATTTAACATCTATTCAAATACAAAAGATAGGGAGCTAAAGCTTGTCATGTGTGCTCAATTAAACCCAGCGCATCACAAGTTGATCCGCCTCCTCTAAGTGGAGTAGCTAGGAGTAATCATGCTCTTCTCCATGTGTGTAGGTTAATTCGTCATATGTACAAGTGAAGTTGGCAATAAGTTCATTATTGCTCTATTTAAAATAAAAATAATAATTAAAAAAATAAAAAACTATTTATGTAGGCTTTAAGTTTAGAATATATAAAATTAAGACTTGTTACAATTAAGATTGAAGGTTATCAATCAAAATCTTAAGTTTTTCATCAAACAAAATAGCACAATTATCATGCATATACATAAGTGGAGTCAAATTCTTACATAATCGAGGAGTACGTTCATCAATGAAAATAAATACTCCATCTATATTCTCCTAAAACACTTCTTCAATTTTAATTTTAAGGTTTGATTTTCAAAAGAAAGACCATTAACTCATCATATTCATAGGTACTTCATGTCTCACATTGCATGTGGGCGTGCTAACTAGAGGCTTGAGACACATTCACACATACTATGAGGTGCAATTTTTATGTCTATGCATTATATATTTATATATATATTTTAGAATTTTTATCATTTGTTTCACATTAATTGGTAGCTGTCAAAGTTAAGTACAACAAATAGTATGCCATGGAGGACAATAAGAAAATATTAGATGTAATTTTCTGATTTTTTTCAAAATTATATTTACATTCAAATGTGAGAAAATATTTTGTTATATATTCTCTCACATTCATAATATAATAAAGATGTATATTATACGTAATGTGTATATTTTTTTCTTTTTTTTTTTACGAGAGAAAAGTTTTTTTTAATGATAGATTGTGTTAAACAAGAAACATCTCAGTATGTTTCCCTAAAAAAAAGTCTCACTTATGAAACAAATTCAATGCATGTTGAACACTTGTCACACATATATAAAATTTGCCTCCAAGTTAAGAAAGAAAGGGAATTTTCCTTGCAAGTTATGAAATTACACATTCTTCCACCATTTTCACCTTCTATTGTTGATCATGGTTATTATAATTACTTTCAGTAGAAAATATTATGTGTTGCTTTTGATCATATATAAATTAACCAAAAATCATATGTATTTAGTTAAGATGTATAACTGTTGAAAATTTATCACATAAGTAGTATTGACCAAAATGGACAACATTTTACCCTTAATTATAGGCATAACTTGTATGTAATTACTAATCATTATGATAACAAAAGAAATAAATTACTTAGAATGTACTGTTAAAAACATAATTGAACAAAATGTATCACAACATCAATCAAATAAAATTTTTATAGTAGAAATTTAAATTATAGTACTACTATACGAAATATACATTATAAAATACAGTACTAATTAATACGAAATATAATTAATATAAATTATTTTTCCATAATTTAATTTAAAGACACTAATGGAATAAGTGGTGGACTCTGTCAAACTGACTTGCTTGTCTAAGGTAATATCAGAACACATCTGCTGACTGTTGTGCTGTATGATTTTGATTGCTAAATTGAGTATATTTTATGATTAAGTATTTTTTTTAATTATTTTATTTTTACAAGATTGACTGACATAATTCAGTGGATCAGCATTACACCCCATGCTAAATTTTGAATCTCTGCATTGGCCAACTATATATCCATGAATTTCATGTGGCTTACGTACGATAATTGTACGAATTAATGTGTACTTAATTCTATAATTTAGATTATTGTTTTAAAATCTTATCATTTACGTCACTCCATTTATCACCATCATTATATCATGTACAACAAAAACACCTGCTCGTCTGTAAGTGTGTAGTATGTTCTCTCATTATCAAGATCTTATTATTATTCAGATTCATAATTGATTAAAGAATTAGCAATTAATTTTCTAAATATGTTGAATAATTTTGTTTTAGTTAAGGATTGTTAAATAGCCTTAGTAAGTTTTGATTTAGAATCATAACTAAACTATCGAGGTTACAAAAATAAAAATCTTATAAATATCGGACTTTTAACATCTCAAACTCTCAATAGAATGATACTCCTAAATCCTAAAGACATGTACCATCTATGCATGCAAAACACCATAAGATCAAGTTATTTTCGTTATAGCTATATTACACTATTCTTTTCCACTTATAATTCATTCGATCTCTCCTTAGTACCCTACTATGTATTTGTGATGACACAATTTTACTATGTCCGTGTTTAGTAGATAAACTTTTAAGGCGAGTGATTGTGAAAAAAATGAAGTTATTATCATATCGTTGGTCAGAAAAATAATTTTAATCGAAATGTTCATGGGATAGATCGAAGAAACAGACATATAGATACACAAAGACTTAGCTAGCTGCCAAGTAGCAGCTAGTGCAACTATATGATTATGGAGTCCTCCTTGCAAACTAAGCTTCAATATCAGTGTTTAATATAAATATTATTTTGATAGTGTTATCAAACTCAATGCATATATGCCTTCAACCTTCATCTAATATAGATGTTAAAACTCCTTTAATTATTATTAGATTTTGAACAAATAAAATCAAATTGATTTAATTCAAAGTTTACCATATAAATTAATATTCTTCTTAAGAATTGAATTCCTCAACAACACCCATTTGCATGTAAACATTTTAATGAAATTTACATAATTTTATTTATTTATTTTTAAAAAAAAAGACTCAAAATTTCAATTGATTATGTTCATATGAATTATATCACATGCCTTGTCTAATAATGTTCAAGGTATAATCTATAAATCAAAATATTTTTTGTTGTATTTTTAATGTGTATTTTGGATGCATGATTTATTTTATCAATTATCATCATTTATATTTATTGACTTTTGAGAAGGAAAAATACCAATCAATATGATTATCAGACCATATGCATGGCATTAATCTAAAGTCTGCATTCACAATCTACATCACTTATACAATAATTTATATTCATGTATATGCATAAATTTTACTAGTAAGAATAATAAATTTTGAATTGAAGTTGATTGTGTTAACTTGGTGAGTTAAGTGTTGAGAAATATTGTTGTATATGAGAAACCAAAGGTTTTTACAGCCTGTGTTTCAAAGATTGAAGAAGATTAACCAAAGATGATGTCTTCAATTCTTTCTTACAAGTTCTCTCAATTACCCAATCAACTAGAGGCAAAACCCGAAATTTTTTCCAAACGGATTGAAGATCAAACATAAATTTTTATTGTGATACTTACAAAAATGAACATTGCTTTTTTATCACATGCTCGTTAAGCTAAAGTTTATGGTCATCCTTTTTGTTGCAACCTAATTGAACTCCGCCCTTTCTATCATCCTTAGCTAAAAAGAGAATTCAGCATATTCTCATGATATCTCTAATAGAACTCAACTAGCTTAGCTTATCAAGTACTTTGTATATTGTTTGAGGAATGGTAATACAATAAAAAAAAAAAAGATTTTTCTACTGAATTGTTCTTCATGACTAACTTGCTCCCTATGAATGTTCGTTGTGAAAAGAGAATTTTTCCTCGACTTTTACTTGAGTTCGCTGTTAATCTTTCATATCTTTCCCTATTATCAAGGAATTAAGTTGTCCGTTATAACTCACATAATTAATTAATGAGTAGTAATACATCAAGTACTTGGTATGTACTTTGGATATTATTATAATGCATGCAACATATGAGCCTAATCAAGATGTTTAATCCCAAGCTTATATCGCGTTAAAAAATTAGTCAAAAAGAGGTTAGTACTTCTGAAGTTCTAATTATACTAGTTACGATTTAATTTTGCTTTGATATATTTTTAACATTTGATATACATTTTTCTCTTTAATTTGTTTCACGTATTCAATGTTTAAACCTCCCTATTTATTATAAGTATTAACTGATGTTTAATAAGTTTAACTTATGATCACTTTCATCGTTTTTAATCTATTTTACCATCTACTTTACCAAATATTTACAGGACTGCTTATTTGTATGTTTTAATTTTTAGATCTCACAATCACGAAATATTTAGATATAGATAGGATCGGACTAGGATTTGATCGAATTTGATTAAGTTTAGAAGGATAGTAGCTAATTAAAGAGGCATTTCTCAAACCCTAGTAGCTCAAAATGAAATGAGAATACAGTGATTTTATGGTAAATCAAAATTTAGGCAAAAAGCAATGGATAATGTAATATTGTTTTTATTTTTAGGCCCTGTTTGATTTGATGTAAAAGGTTTTCATGGAAAATAAATTTTCCATTTTTTTTCCCATTTTCCTTTGTTTAATTTGTTAAAGAGTGGAAAATAATTTTTCAAGGGTGGAAAATTCCATCTTTAATGATGGAAAACATTTTCCTTCCAAAAACAAGGGAAGCTACATTTTCCTCTCTCCTCCTTAACTCTTTTTTTACTTCCCTCTCATTCATCCCTACATTTCCACTCTTATTTTTTATTTTTCTTGTATGCAACCAAACAATGGAAAACTAATTTGCAATTGTGTTTTTCCTTGAAAATATGTTTTCCATGAAAACTAATTTTCCATTAAAAATGTTTTACATTAAACCAAACGGGGCCTTAATTTCAAGACTTTTTTGATGAATTTTTTTTCTAGTGATTACTAATGCAACTATTTTCTAATGTTAGGATAATGTAAATGATTAATTAGGTGACCAAAAAAAGGGACCCAAAAATTCATGTAAGCATATATATTCACTAATTTCTTGCAAAAAAAGACTACTAAAATTATTCCTAATAAATATAAATTGGATTTTAAAGCACTTTAAAAAAAAAAAAAAAAAAAAAAAAAAAAAAAAAATTCTATAAAATGCAGAAAAATTAAATTAAAAAATAGAGAAAGAAGATGAACCTGGAGTTAGAGAAATCAGAGAGTTTTCCAGTGCTAGAGAAGATCATAACTCCGACTTCGGCGTCACAAAGAATAGCCAACTCCTTAGCTTTCTTCAACAATCCATTCCTTCGCTTCGAAAACGTAACTTGTCTGCTCGTTACATTATCGATCCTTCGAATCACGATCTTACCTCTTCCCATCTTTTTCAATCTTTAATGAATCTCTAAATTCTGATGGTGATCGAAGGTAAATACTTAGCTTCCGAAGCTCAAGAACAATTCACCTAATTATTAAGTCGGAAAAATCAAATTCAAAATCAAAATCAAAATTATAAAAAACAGCTAGCCGGTGAAGAAAAAGGTGGATCAAGTAAGAGCGAGACAATTAAAAATAATAAAACCCGAAGACGAAGACGAAGAAGAAGAGATTTAAGGAAGAGGAGGAGAGAGAGGGAGGCGCTTACTGAGAATAGAAAGGGGAAGAGGAGAAGATGGGTAAGGTAGCAAATTGGGGTTTAATTTGGAGTCGTAGCACATGCCCATTTGTGGAAAGTTTTTTATTTTTTTATTTTAAAATAAAAATAGAAGTAGAGAGAGAAAGAGGTGATAATGATACCAATCGTATTTTAATTTTCTCAATCACTTCTCTTTCCTGTTTGGAAAACCTGGGGCAAAAGAAGGAAGCTATTGTTTTGTGGATTTTGGAGGTGTGAGAATATGGAAATGTGATTGGTGGATGGATTTTTGTATTTGCACCGTCCACCTTATAGGTTGCTGACGCGTGGGGAGATTCGTACTTCTCTATGCGTGTATATTGTACCGTATTTGTATTTTTTTTTCTAAGATGAAGGATTCTACTAATCCGTCCGTCAAAAAAAAAAAGGATTCTACTAATCCGACATTTTTCACGGGTTAAGATAATTCAGTTCCCTACTCTCAAGCGTTGACCTCTGTTAGTGGACCAACTCAACCAAAAGCTTAAGCTGATGGTTGAAGCCCAGGAATATGTTTTATACTTTATCAGTCCCCCTCACATGAAAGGCCCTTTGGGCTTGAAATGTGGATGCAACTCTGGCCCACCCATACCTGGTGTGAATTAATATAATTCCACTTTAAAGGAGGGGTGGATGAGATTCGAACCCGTGACCTTTGTGTCACGCTGGCTCCGATACCATGTTAGTGGACCAACTCAACCAAAAGCTTAAGCTGGTGGTTGAGGCACAGGAATATGTTTTATACTCTATTACTCCCCCTTCAAGATGGAGCATGTAGATCTCGAATGCCCATCTTGCCAAGCAAAAACTCAAATTGCGCCTTTCCTAAGGCTTTTGTAAAAATATCCGCCAATTGAACCTTCGTGGAAACATACGATGGCTTAATCACTCCTTCTTTAATGGCATCCCTAATAAAATGACAATCTACCTCAATGTGTTTTGTCCTCTCATGAAACACTGGATTGTTCGCAATATGAAGTGCCGATTTCCTATCACAGTACATGTTCATACCTTGCTTATGTTCTACACCCAAGGATCGAAGTATTTGTTTCAAGTGTTTTAACTCACATTGCAACCCCGTCATTGACCTATACTCTGCCTCTGTGGAACTCGTAGAAACTGTTGGTTGCTTTTTAGTCTTCCATGACACAGGAGATAACCCAAGCAATACAAACCAACCTGTCAACGATCTACGAGTCAAGGGACAACTTGTCCAATCCGAGTCACACCAACCTTCCAACTGAAGACTACTATCCGACCTTAGTAGAATGCCTTGACCCGGACATTTCTTCAAATATCTTACTACTCTCAATGCTGCTTCCCAATGTTCCTCTTTTGGACATTGCATAAACTGTGATAAAATATGCACCGAATAAGCCAAATCCGGCCTTGTGACTACCAAGTATATCAGACGACCAATCAACCGCCTATATCTGCGTGCTCCTTCCCCTCTGCTAAAGCAAGTTTATGATTTTGCACCATTGGAATGTCTGTCGGCTTTGCTCCTAGTAACCTTGTCTCAGAAATAATATCCAAAGCATACTTACGCTGACACACATAAAAACCATGTTTACTACGTGCCACTTCTAGCCCCAGAAAATATTTCACGGCACCCAAATCTTTCATTTTAAAACATTGACACAAGTATGCTTTAAAACTCTCCAATGCAACTGTATTATTTCCTGCAATTATCATATCATCCACATAAACTAAGACACTCAACTGCATTCCACCCTTTGAAAGAGTGAATAAAGAATAATCGGAATACGACTGTTTAAATCCATATTGCCCTCTCATACCCGGCGCAAATTAATTCCACTTTAAAGGAGGGGTGGATGAGATTCGAACCCGTGACCTTTGTGTCACGCTGGCTCTAATACCATGTTAGTGGACCAACTCAACCAAAAGTTTAAGCTGATGGTTGAGGCCCAGGAATATGTTTTATACTCTATCAACCTCCCTCCTCTTGTAAGATTGTGTTGTATGAACTGGGAAATTTTAAGTATGGAGTACTGAATTTTAAAAGGACTAGGTCCTTTGTTAGATGAAATAATTATGTTCTACTCGTTTAAGGAAAAGAATAATATGTAGCTTTTTGTTTACATCTTTTGATCTAAATTTATTACGAGTAATATGGCCATACTACTTGTAATATAATATGGCCATTTGTATGAAATTTTATACAAGTGAAAAAAAAGAGTATAAAACCTAATTCCAACCTTATTTATCTCGATTATCAACTTAAAATTTTGGTTGAGTTAATCCGTTAACATGACATTAAGAATCAGCATGACAACAAGGTTATGAGTTCGTATCTTATCTACCTCTCATGTCTATCAGTCTATATGCGAAATAATAATATAAGGCCCCAATTTTAAAACTTTGCACATACATGTCATTGTTGACATATTAGCCCTTATTCCATTTATGTTAAGCTAAGATGGTTTTGTATGAACTGGAAATTTTTTGATACTGAATTTTATAAAATAGATAGACTAGGTCTTCTGTAAGACGATTAGCATTTACTCGCAAGTTTAAGGAGAAGAAAACCCCTTGACTCTTGTTTTTTACTCCATCCTTTTGTTCTAAATTTCTTATTTACTTGCAATATAGCCATTTGTATAAAATACAAGTAAAAAATTAATAAAAACAATATGAGTGGATTGTTATAGAATTATAACAGAGTATAAAACCTATTTATGAGCTTTAACCATTAACTTAAATTTGAAAAAGTTAGCTTAGTCCTTTAATAATGTATCAATAGAATTAGCTTATTACAAGTTTGTATCTTGTTTATCCTTCATACCCTCATATTTATGTGTGAAATAATTTAATAATATAATAAGGGTCCAAATTAAAAACCTTTACCAGCAAATAATAATCATTTGTACGAAATGTGAGACAAAAAAAAATGAATAATAAAACATTATTGGTCAAATAAGCTAATTTTGTCCCAAAAAACACTTTACCAGCAAATACCTCCATTGTTATTGGTCAAAGAGCTATTTCCACCAAATTAGCTCATATTTAATAAGCTAATGCTCCGAGGAACTTTTTCACCAGCTCATTCAAGTAATTTAAGATGATGTGGTGACATTTTTAACCCTCTTTTAACCCAAAACACTAGCAACTACAAAAATAAAAAAAAAATAAAAAAAAATAAAAAAAATAAAATAAAATAAAAATAAATAAATTATAAATAAATATAATCAATGTCCTTATTGATCATATATTTTGTGTACTCAAACAATTTTATTAAGAAATCAACTATTTACCAAACATTTCTGTATAATTAGTTTGTAAAATCAATTAATACAATCAATTCCAACAAACATGCCCTATATGTGTTAAATTGATTCTTAAATGACTTCTTCCTTTGATATCTTATTCTGCTTTCTCAATGGCATGAATCATGTTCGAAAAATGTGTGTTTTATTAAGTTATTTAAAAAACTTCCTCAACTCTATACATATGCTTTCATTATCATATACTCTACAATATCTAATTTTTCCTAAACTCTATATCTACCCATTCCCTAAAGTCTACTTTAGAAAAATTAATTGTGACATGACAATTTATTATATGACACTTTTAAAGGACTGATATTGAAAAACATTTCAAAATTATAGGTTGATGATAAATGAATCTTACTTTAAAGTCTATTCCAAACTCTTTTCCATGGGAATATATATTATGCCTCAAATTATATTGAGGGTTGATTATGATTAATTTTATATATATTAATCTCCTTAATCATCTATTGAAAAAATTTCTAAATTCTATAAATACATATAAATAAATAAGCTCTACAGTATATTATTTCATCAAATGAGAGTATTTTATATGTGGTTGCCAAAATAAGAAGAAATTATAAGTGTAAAACAAAAAGGAGCAAACATAAATGAAAAGTGTAATTATGAAAAAAGCTATGGACAAATGTATACTAGATTGTACTGTTAATCTGTGTTTTTCTTTACACTATATATTTAATAAGCATGTGTGGGGTCCATTTCACCTGCCTCAATAGATCAGATGCCTCCTCAACTCTCCTTCCTCGGAATTTTTTATGTCCCCATCTCGAGACCTCAAGATTGGGAGATGACAGCTAGCATTACTACCAATTCAACGACACCTGATTGGTTGCCCTTTTTAATTTTTTACATTATCATTTATCCTTGTTGTTGAATCCAAATTGATACACAGAATATAATTAGATAGCCGACATTATTTCATTTGCATTTGCAGTCATCTTCCTTTATTTTTTTTCCCCGAAAGTATTAACCAATTCTAGAATAAGATACAACCTTTTTATGATTTCATTAGATACATACTTTATGTAATCTCCAACGAAAATAAATATAGAATAACTCTAGAGTATCCCAAAAAGGAAATTTTTAGTACAAAATACCAAACAAAACTACTCAAAGTTGGAAACTCAAAAAATTGAATGACATCAAAGCTTGTTCTTTGCCATTCACTAAGTCCCAAGTTCCGACTCTACATGATAGTACTCTTATGGAATATATAATATATCATTCAAAAGTAATAAACTTTATAATATAATTTTTTCAAATATACTTGACTCTTGAAAACTCTAAAAATCGTATTTATTCTAAAATTGTGGACAAATCAAGAAATTATCTGGCCATCACATAACCGTTGGCCGACACTTTATTCAGGTAAAATATAGTGAACGTGTCAGCACTTAAAAAGATCCAAAATTAAGAGCAATTTCTAGGAAAGATTTCCTTTTTCAGGTAATTAAGGTTTCCAAAATTAGAAAAAAATATAAACAAATTAGAATGTACCTTCAAAAAAATAACCCAAAAATTGATGGCCAATTGGCAAATTTTGTATGGATTTAATTATCACTTTCCTCTTTTTCCAACATTAACTTAAAGTGGGTACTGTCCAATGCCTATTAACATGACTTCTCACATGCATGGTTACAAATGATTAAAGAAGCATGCACTCTACTTAGTGCTCATGTTGTCATCTAAAACATATGTTAATCTTTTAAATATTAGCAAGTTGCAATTAATTTATCCCAAAGAATAACTATACTAAGATTAAGTTGCGATCTACTCAATTAAAGATGCAAGTTGTCGCGATAATGTCTTTATTTTAGCATATTATAGACTATAATTAGCAAAGATGACGGACAAGATATACATTATTCACACC